AACATCATGTAGCTATAAAAACATGATGTTAGTTGGTAGATATTGTTTAACAACTTAAATTCTCGACCTGCTTCCATTTTATAAAAACCTTAAAATTTAAAATATTTGTAAATTTTTGCCTATTGTTATAATGAAAAAAATTATTTATGAGTATCGAGTTCTTTAAAAGTACATTACTATTTTAATTTATAGCTGCTAGCTTCCTCGGCAGCTTGTGCCTTGCATCGACGTCACCTGATGGTTTGGAAGATATTTGCTCCAAGGTTTATGTTTGAAGCTGTTGCCATGGGAGTAACAATATTTGGTGTGATGTTAGGCTACTTGTTTACACTAAGAGTTCATCTTGCTTTACGGAACTGGCTTGAACAGAAATCCCTGGAATTTGGGATCGTGGATTATAGATAGAAAGCTAGCCATCTTGTCTTCACTGAGAAAATGTCCAACAATCTCACCTAAAGTTCTAATGACAAGAACGAAACTTGTTTTGTGTACCTCTCAAGCTGTTATATGTGTATGTGTAATGTGCACTTGTGTAAGAATGAGCATTATAAGTTCTTTTATTAAGTACCAAATAATTACAGTAAAATCCAATCTCACATGTATTTAGTACCCACTAATTAATAAATTGTACAGTAGAATCATTTCACACTTTCTGTTAGTGTCCACTAATTAATAAATTGTACAGTAGAATCATTTCACACTTTCTGTTAGTGTCCACTAATTAATAAATTGTACAGTAGAATCATTTCACACTTTCTGTTAGTGTCCACTAATTAATAAATTGTACAGTAGAATCATTTCACACTTTCTGTTAGTGTCCACTAATTAATAAATTGTACAGTAGAATCATTTCACACTTTCTGTTAGTGTCCACTAATTAATAAATTGTACAGTAGAATCATTTCACACTTTCTGTTAGTGTCCACTAATTAATAAATTGTACAGTAGAATCATTTCACACTTTCTGTTAGTGTCCACTAAGAATGAACAGTAGAATACATTACTACTTTTGTTATTGTCCACTAAGAATGAACAGTAGAATACATTACTACTTTTGTTATTGTCTACTAAGAATGAACAGTAGAATACATTACTACTTTTGTTATTGTCCACTAAGAATGAACAGTAGAATAATTTCCCACGTTTGTAGTAGAATAGTTAATAGAATGTATAATGAATTAAGGTTGTTTTTTCACCTAATTTTCTTTTCTTTACAAACTGTTACCTACTAACCAACAACTGATATAATACAAGTTTCAGTTTATGTTCTTGGTATATGTAGCCATTATAACCTATAGCAATTATATAATACATAATAACTCCCAGTGAGTCAGACATACATTGTCACCTTTATTATTAGTTATTCATCGAATTTAATACTCTGGCTTAGAACGTGTTTTGTGTGGTATTTGTTAAATATTTTTTATGTTCTAGTTGAAAGAAAACACGTCTTCCATTCTGTGTTAATGATGTTTGCATCAATGTAAGCAGTGTTTAAAGCGAGCTGGAAAAGGTGCAGTTATACACGTATTTGGATGTTTAAAGCGAGCTGGAAAAGGTGCAGTTATACACGTATTTGGATGTTTAAAGTGAGCTGGAAAAGGTGCAGTTATACACCTATTTGGATGTTTAAAGTGAGCTGGAAAAGGTGCAGTTATACACCTATTTGGATGTTTAAAGTGAGCTGGAAAAGTTGCAGTTATACACCTATTTGGAGGGGGGGATATTTTGCCTTAGAATTATGGATTAACGTTCGCATCCCATTACCACAAAAAACAAATTATGCTCCACACGTTGGAGACGTGTGTTATAAGTATGACGGTCAAATCCTACTATTCGGTAATCCCAAAGCTGGTGTTGACTAGTTGCATTCCCTCTAGTCTGTCACTTCAAAATTAGTAACGGTTAGCGTATATAGTGCTTGACCAGTGTTACGCGAATATTCCAACAACATAAGCGCGGGATGGCGATGTAGTCGTTAGCGTAAGTTGTGAAGTCTGTAAAATCTAAACACATTCCTAAGATTGGTGACAAGAAAGATGCCATGAACTCGACCTTCCGAGCATTTGCTGTAGCAATAACCAAAACAAGTGTTTGTGGCGAAAGTCGATATGCGCTGACCTTGGGATGACCTCATGAGAACTGTTCAAAGTTCACACTTTACAGCCGCCAAATTCTATCATTTATATATTCTACCGCATCAACAGCCGAAAGTTGGGAACTTGTGATTGGAAACCTTATGTAAGCCTCGGTATAATGGATATCGAGAAACCTTATGCAAGCCTCGTTAAAATAGAAATTTGTGTTAGTCTCAGAGTCAGATTCTGGAATAATTACATATATATTTGGTGACATTTCGAGCTATGCCTCTTCATCCCATTCAAAAGAAACATGTACTTCTGATGAAGAGTTATAGCTCAAAACGAGAGCTACAAAATTATTTATTGGCGATTTATCAGCCTTTCAATTATTCCAGTGTTTGTGTTATTACGTTTATCTACATTCTAATCCTTCCAACTTCTACATGTATATGTAGTTCCGCTTTTAAAGTCAAAGTTTTCAGAGTTCAAGATTACATACAATTTTTCTCAGTAATAGAAGTTTTACATATACAGAAGTAAAAACCGTTTTGTATTAAGAATGACAACCAAATAAAACTTTCACAAAATTAAGTCATTGTACCAATAAATGTGAATGGTTAAAACTAGAGAAGAAAATTAATTAATTAATCATAATCATATTACATCGTTCAGAAAATTTTCGTCTTTTCTCTACTTAATTTAGATTTTACGTGTTTTTAATCAAAATGCAAATCGTCCAAAAAACTGAAATCTTGTCTTGTCGGGCTTTAGGTCTTATAGACCTGGGAAGGTTAGGTTCATTTGACCTCTTCCTCCCCCCAGCACATGATGAACGATTTTTGTATAATAATATTTTAATTACAACAAGGGGATTAGAATTTAGCTAGTCCACGCACCTATTCTGACCCCTTTCAAAGCCATGTCCATGTAGGTCAGAAGAGTAATATTGATGTGTTAAATACATTTCTTTCTCATTTGTTTTTGTAAGTTCTACACTTCGCGAACAGCTAAAGTTCCTTTTTCATTAAATTTCTACGAGAGCATTTACATAAATACTCATTTTCAATGCTGTCACAGTAAATTAAAGCTAATGATAATTAAGTAGTGTAGCAGTAGGCGGCCTAAATTTGTTTTTATTTCTTATATATTAATTGGGAAGAGGTACTTAGGGCTATGTTCATCACGTATACAGAAACGACCAAGTTCATCTAGTAAGTCAATTTTGTACCAATTTTTCGCGAAATAATTTAGCGAACTATGTAGGAGTCTACCGGTTGACGTTTTTATGTTTGCTTCCCGCCAAATTTTAGATCAAAACTATACTGATACTCATTGCTCCATCTCTTGACCGATTTGAGATCTAATTACAGCCGCGGTTATTGAGGATTCCCTTTTGTTTATATTTCTAGACGCATTCAATCCTTCATAAATCGATAGAGGGCGATGAATTATTCGAGTTAACGCGAAAGTGCTCATGAAGTTTGCTGTAAAAATAATTACTATTATTAATTTAACCCAAGTGTTGTAGTGCGGCTTCTAGAATGATGTAACATTTTTGCACAATAGCCTCTGCTTTCCATTGAAGCTACAAAGTCGTGAATTATTTATCTGTATTTGTTACATGTCAAAGACTCCATTTATCTATTTTAATTTATTGTCTTATGTGATAAAAAATGAAATTAACGTCTATCAAAATTGATTTTGAAATCCTAAGTCGTGGTATTAACAGGCTTGTTTTTATTAAACTTTCTTATACCTAGGAAAAACAATCACTTACTCCCATAAAGTATCATATTAATCAAAAATACTTTCTGTACTTTTAATTGAATTTATTTATTTATTTATTTATTCCAATTTTGCAAGGACAAAGTAAATTATAAATTCCTACGTTAACTTTAAACGAAGTATAATTTCATTAAGTTTATTTTGAAAGAGTACCAACTTAGCCTTTCTGCCGTACTACCGGTTCTGATATTGTAATTATATAAATTAAACTTACAACCAGTAATAGCGTTATTTTTTCTTTTCCAGTTTTTAAAATTTATATATGTATTGTATTTATTTCATTTACAATCACAATAATTTTCAATATGTGAGAATACTTCCAAATGTTGTAAACAGATGTTAAATTTGAAAAGTAATACTTAAAAAAAAATAGAGGTTCCGGCTGAATTTTGTATAACAGTAGTTTGTGTGCATATTGTAAATCCTCATTTATATTTCTATAAGTATAATGGACAAAGAAAAGTATATGTACATATCTATTTACATTCAATTATTCTGACATAATTACAGTAGTTAATATATCATATAATAATAATGAATCTTAAACTAGATTACACCCATCTACTTAACACAACGACAGAAAAATCGCCCGAATTGAACATGTCCAAAAGGTGAATCAACTATTTCGAGGAGTGGCCAAGTACCATATTTGGGGACATATGATAGTTCATTCAACAACCCTGACCCTGAAACATTAGATCAGTCTACCATGAAAGCTTATTAATCACCAGATACTTACAACTATTTTGTAAGATTTTACGTATACCCTACAGCGGAGTGGAGTCCGATTTCTCAGTGTGCATTATGGTATATGAAAATCAAAATCTCATCAATTTAGCGACAAATTCCACAGCAGAGTAAACATCTATTTACATTTAAATAGTTGGTTTCATAGGCTTATATAGCGAAGAAGATTAGAAATACTATAGATGTTATGCCAGTTTACTTACATTTTATACAGTGGTATATATTGAGAAAGTATGTTTATTTCATTTTAGGCTTTGTTTAAAAATATACAGAACACCAATACATACACGTCCATATATATAACTCGATTACTAACGCCGAAACCCCCTAGTGGATCAGCAATAAGTACATATTTTTTAATTTAATTTCTCTACCAAATTGCGAATTTCAGTGAAGAAACGAGAAAGTAGAGGCTTAATCTAGTCTTAGATTCGTTACCCCCGTACAACAGATTCGTTTCACCGAATTCACGGCTCATCGGTGCTGCTTGGAAGGGCAAAGGAAATAAGTAAAGTAGGCCTTTTATTGGTTAAAGAACAGATTAAACAATCGCCAAGTTTTTTATATTTTAAGAGGATGAAGTAACGTCACGTCATTCTTTTAAAATATAAAAACGCTTTGCAATTGCTTAACCTATTTTTTAATTTCGATATCTTTATCGTCTGTGCGGTTAACTATACTATACGTTTCTCATATTTAGCTATAATCTTATAGTAATGTTTGGGCTTTGTGTCATGGATTAGGTCTAAGCTAAATTTCCTAATTAAGTAAACTATTGTGATAAGTTAAAGTTTCTCTTACATAATTTATTCCTCAAATCACTCCAGTATTACATTTTATATTGAAGCTTTTCTTATTTAATTCTTTTTTTAAACTAAAAGCGTGTTTTATTTTATAATAGCGCTAAAAAAAGAACTAATTTAGGCCTAGCGTAAATGTATGAACTTGTACATTATATTTGTAGAGCCTAAAATGAAGTAGGCTTAATGTTTATGGATATTTCAGATAACAAACTATGATGTAGGCCAGGGTCTAGGTGAGGAAGGTAGAGAACAGTTATGGAAAAGCATTCTGTGATATTGCGCACATATTATCTGAATTACCTTCGTAACGAAATCGGGTTTTACATATAAGATATAACCTTTATACAATTATTGCAGTAAAAAAATGGACCACTGTATACACCAAGTAAATCTAGGGGCTTAAGTCTACCCTAATGTAAATTAAATGTCAAACCGATAATTACTTATCGGTCGGCAAACAGTATGGCATCATCTCCCTCCTCCGTTTTTAAACATTTTTTTTTTTAATGTTTGATTTGATAAGAAACTGATTTTTTTAATCGAACCTACGCGATTTCATAACATTATAAATTAATTATATAAACGTTATTTATAAAACACACTATTCGCGGGTACGAGTTGGGTTGGTGGTAAAGCTGTAGGAACGTTCTAAGAGTGACTACTTAATCACTTAGCCTGGTAGGGTGCTTTTGATTAACTGCCTTTCCTCTGGTCAGTAGTTCAAAATTAGAGACGACTTGCAGCTTTTTCCAAAAAATAGAGATATTTTCCTTCCACAGCGTTTCACGTGACAAATTGAGTTTCTTTAATATATGTATAAATCTTAACTTTCTGATATATCAGTACGGTCCTAATAGCCAAAGTGGAGCTACTTAGAAAACAATTTCAGTAAAATATCAGTAGATGATGCTAAAATATATACAAATAAATTGTTTCACATTTTAAATATTTTTAGACGTATAACATACAAAATTTGAAAAACGTTTCGGGTAGAAGCCCTTCGTCAGGAAGTATAAACTGCGTTGCATGGAAAAAAAAAGGCTTAGACAGTAAATATGGAACAGGGCGGCTCGAGCACGCGCTAAACAAGTGAAAAAATGCCTTCTGTGAATCAGTAAGCCTAATATAATTTATGAATGCCTAGTCCCGACTGTAAATTCTCAATAGCAATGAATTTTGTTTCTGGACGCAGTTGGTATTGTGTTTAATTTTTATAATATGATTTTTTTATTCTCGAGTCGTTCATTCTATTATTTCTGCCATGTGTCAGCGAGAAGTTTACACACTTACAACGCCAAAATCCAGGGGTTTGATTCTCCGCAATGGACAGAGTGCATATAGACCATTGTGTAGCTTTGCGCTTAAACAAGTAAACAAAAAATCATTGGAATTATTGAGAAATGAAGGCGTGGGCCTATTCGTGTTGTTGAACCAATATCTCTTCGTTGCCATGGCGATGTTATCGGAAAGATTAAAACGTAGCAATACCTATCTGGGTTATCAAATATATTTTGTTATTTCTTTTTGAACATAAGTCAACTGAATAATTCTGATGATCTCCGTGTGACCGTTCGACATTGCCGAAGTAGAAAAAAAAAAAAAAAAAGATGGCGCGCACAAAAATAGAAGGTCATGGTATAGGTACAAAATACATATACACTACTATTTATGCATTGAACTAACTACCTTCGGGCAAATACGCATGAACTGCTTTCGTTACAAGTATAAGTTTAATATAAGAATTTTTCATATTCCAAGTGTAAAGATTTATAGAATGGTTAGCTAAGGCCAATCGGCGTCGCTAGGTGCTTAAAATATTCGGGGCTCGAGCCCATTAGCGCGTGAATTTTCGGCGTTTCAGTATGATATCGATCATGGTTTTCTATTCTGAATTTTCAAGACACCAACTGGAAATTCGACGCAGTATCAAACAGAATCGGAACACGGGCATCGTGTGCAATGCCTAGCGACGTCTCTGCTTAAGGCTTAAGCTATGATACTTATAATCTACAACTTACGCCGACTATGCTAAAGTTAGTACAGCTATTGTTGCTAAGCGTTGAAAGTTAAATTGAACTTTCATATAAGTGTACTTGTAGCAGCTAAAATTTAGTTTCACTTAATTTTGTATTTTATCAAACATTAATATTTACTAGGCCTACAGCGTTAAGCCTAATTTGTACTGATGAGAGAGGGCAAAATTGTTTCAATGAATATTGGTATATTACTAGTGTTTGTTTTATATATATATAAATATACAATACATTTATGTAAACTACAGAGTTGTAACATATTTAATGTTTTTTCATCACAAAATAAAATTTATTTACATTTGTTAAATTCTGAGGAAGCCGAATTTTTGAAGCATAGTGTAAATGAATAAGTTTTGTGGTCTAAAAAGAAGTGTCATTTTTGTGTGCGTGTGTTCAGAAGTCATCATATAGAGTAATTTATTCGCAAATCGTGTATTTAAGTGTGGATACCTCACTACTATAAAGGCTTGGTTTGGTCTGAAGTTTCATCGGTGGTAGTGTCCAGGGTCACTGATGAGGAGTGGAATTCTCCGAAACTAGTCTGACTCGCAGACACACCCCAATAAAAGAATAGACCATTACAAGCTTTTACTTGATGTTAAACAAATGTTTAAACAACTCTATTCAATCTATTCGCAAGCATGCATTTTTAATACCCTGTATAAAAAACTTCAACAGCTTTTGGTTTGAATTTCGCGCAAAGCTATACGAGGGCTATCTGCGCTAGCCGTCCCTAATTTAAAGGGAAGACAGCTAGTCATCACCACCCACCGCGACTCTTGGGCTACTTTTTTTTTTCAACGAATAGTGGGATTAACTGTAACATTATAACGCCCCCACGGCTGAAAGGGATAGCATGTTTCGTGTGACGGGGACTCGAACGCGTGACCCTCAGCTTGCGAGTCAAATGCCCTTATCACCTGGCCAAACAGCTCTTGAGCCGGAGCGGTCGCACGGTGTCCGACTTTAGCTCACGAGGGAGAATGGTAATGTGTGTGTGTGTGTGTGTGTGTGCTGGACGGACTGTCCAAATGTGACGGGGAGTTTACAAAAAGCCAACGTTCTCTAGCACTGGTTAAGAAATATATTTAATTTCGGATATAAACTAAACTTTTTATATACATATTTTTAATTTTTTTATTAAGTGCTCTTAAGAATTTAACAAGAACGAAAAATGCACATTGAATAATATATTACATTTCACTAGAAAAATCTTACACACAGCTATTGTGTTATATAACACAGTAAGACTATTGGTTGTTTTTTAATGAAATCTCCGTTTACTTTAGATTTCAAATAATAGCATTTGAACCACACACACTTGGCGTGTTGTACGTCTGTATACGCTCAATATCACACGTTACCTACCATACTGACAGATAATTGTCGTACATTTGTCTATAAAAGAACCACAAATTCTATTATCTTCCCCCGTAATTACAACCACAGCGTAATCTAATATATATATATAAACACTGAAAAGGCAATATAGACATAGGTAAATTACTCTTTATAAATTATTTATCTTAGTAAAAATATGACCTACAAAACAGTCATTTTAATGCTAGATATGCTCGCAAATAATTCCGAAAAATATGGTTATGCTTGCTTATATAGTTTTAAGAACTAATAAAAAAAAAACGGAAATAAACGAATATTAATAATAATAACCTATACCTCTAAGATAGCGACATCTACCGGAATGCTACTATTCGTTTGAAACACTAGAAGGTTGATATAATATCAATTCTAATGGCACAAAGTAGTCATTTTTACACAAAGGCTGCATTCTGTAAAGTGTAACTATTCAAACGATTAAACATAACTAATCTTGTGTCTCCGAAATTATCAACATATAATTAAGACAATTTTTTTCAATGCAAGTCATAGTCTTTATGTATATAGAATATACAATTGAAGGGTTAAGTTTTCCGGATACTTAAAAACTACCCCTAAACTAAAAGTGTACCCGCACCAATTAAAAACAAAACAAAACTGGTTTATATGATTCACATAAAACCTGACATAGGAAAATATTTCGAAACGTGGTGCTACTTTTCAACATCGGCATGCATTATTCCTTACATATCAAATTATATAAATGGAAGGGTACACTTTTACAAACTGATTGTTAATATAACGCAGTTGTATCTCCATTAACACTGATAATTGATTTTTAAATGTTTTATTTTAAAGCCCCAGCTAGTCGGTTTAAACGAGCTATAAATATCTCGCATATAAAAAAAAAACATCATTCATACATAAACACATACAGATTATGACGTACCCATGGTAACGCCCTTAGTGTGCCCATGTAGTTTATCCAATATGTTTTTTTGGAACGAAAATTTTACTACTGATTTACTTAAGTCAATACAGAAAACTTGTATTTCTTTATTATAATACATTAACAACATTTGTACTGCTGTAATTTGTTAGTGCATTAACCAGTAAAGTTAACTGGTAAATTACTTACAAAATCAATATTCCATTTCTACAGATACGTGTTGCCAACAATAGATTAAACCAAAAATGTGACGGGGTACATTATAAATACAGTATATGACACCTATTAGAAGCCCATTTCCGAGTTTATTAATCATTTTTCACTTTGTAAATGTACACAAGATCATTAATTTTCTTTCTCTGTTATGAATTTTTTAGGAAAAGGAATTTAGGTGAAAATAAAAATGTTAGAAGTAGCTGATATAAAAACTAGAAATCATTGAAAACCATTACAGTAACTTAAAAACTGAGATTGTATATCAAAATGTTCCTGCAGTCGTTTTAAAGTTTCATACCCAATTAAAAAACAAAACAATATATTAATTAGTTCCTTCTATTTTATGTATGCTTATTTATTTAAGATATTTTAACCCTAACTTTAAGTGGCCTACATTAAATCAACTACTGTTTTTTAATAATAAAAACTTTAAAGCATCTTAGACTTGAAATAAATAAATGTACTAATTTCATTTGGAAGTTCATAGTGTAATTTTCCAGGGCTTCCTCCACAAAATATCAGTTTAACCTATTTGCAATTGTGAATCCACAGTCCAATGATTTTGTCCTAATGATCACTCTAAAGCGTATATCTGTTCACTTGACCGTTAGGTAGCTTTGTAATTTATGAACAGTGTTTTTATCTAAAGAACATAGGTCAAAATCAAACGTTGAGTCAGTTACAAAGTATAATCCAGTCTCTTCAATGACATCTACCACATGCTGGATATGACCACGATCTCTTAGACACATTATCTGTTGTCTAAGTTTCTCTAATTCAGCCATGTAGCTTGGATCACACTGGGAATGATGTTCCACTGTTCCTTCCGACACTCTAACCTGATCTGTTTCATGTTTAGGAAGTAGCAAGTCTTTTCTCACTTTGTTAGTTTTAACAACATCAAGTTTTTCTTCAGTCTCTCTATCATTCAAATCTAACATTTCTTTACTCTTTAGACGAGCTCCAGTTGGGGAACCAGGACTGCTTGACAGTGGAGACAGTAACTTACTCTCTTTTTCCATCTCTGCCATCATTGCAGCAAGAGGACCATGGATCCCTCCAGTGGCTAAGGAACACAGGCTAATGCTTGAGGCAGGACTGCTGTTACCATCATCGGGCAACTTTATAAGATTTTCAACGTCTGTGGGAACTAGTACGTGATAACTTTTTTCTTCTTTTAATTTTCTTGGTTTGGATGTTGAATTTTTTATATTACTCTCATCTGATTGACCATCCTTCTTCTTTTCTTTCTTTTTCTTCACTTCAGTTTTTGTTTTTAGAGAGCTGTTGGATGATATCTGTGAAGATGATTTGGTAGATTTATCATGTTCCTTCTCTGAGGGGCCAGCTTTAGTTTGTGTTTTGTGTTGACCATCTTTCTTATCCTTTCTGTCTTTCTGTTGCTTATCTTTTAAGGAACTCTCAGTAGATATAACAGAAATGGCCACTGATGATGCTGAAGCACTGCGTTTTCTTTTTTTGGTCACTTTTGTTCCACTTGAACTTAAACTCTGGCATGGTGACTGAGGTCGTTTAGGTATTTCTTTCACTTCTTTATTGTGAAACTTCACATCTTTTGTCTCCTTACTTTTGTCCTTTGGAAATGATGCAGGTTTTGTTTCTTTACTTGAAGATAACTTTCCATACAATGATTTGGAACTTGGCATGTTAGCTCCACTTTCCTATAAATGATGAGATAACAGGTTTAAAACGTATAATTTAGTTTATTTCTAATTTTAAACATATACCTATAACAGAACCTGTACAAGGTAAGTCTGAGTGTAATAAACACTAATTTACTCAATTAAAATACAAGACATAAAATCTATAACTCAAATGACTGTTTGTTTTGAATTTTGCACAAAGCTACACTAGCTGTCCCTAATTTAGCATTGAAAGACTAGAGGTAAGGCAGATAGTCAAAACTTGGATTACTCTTACAACTGAATAGCATGATTGCTCGTAATATTATAATTCCCCCACTGCAGAAAGGGTGAGCATGTTTGGTGTGACGGGGATTCGAATCCATGACCCTGATCGCAAGTCAAGTGCCTTAACCACCAGGCCCACAGTTATGAAATACTAGGTTTTGATTTTATCAGGCAATATGTATAAGTTTCACAGTACTAAATACATGAACCAATGCTATAGATGTATCAAATTTCCAGTAGAAGTAGAATCTACCTTCAAATTACCATTTGAAGATACAGCAGAAGACAGAAATAATGGACAACTGAATATAATCAGTATGTCAAAGCTATTTATATTACTGAATTGTCTTGTCTTCCCTCAGTTCTGTAATTAAGGAGTTTCACCAAGTACCGACTATTTATATCGGCTTATTTACAAATTTTGATAGCTTTATTTCAATTCAGTATAAACAAAATTTGATACCTATATTAGTACCTAGAAAGTATTCCACATTTAAAAACTTTTTATGAACCATTAGGTAATATAACAGCAGTGTTAAAATTAAATGGTAATCCCATTAAACTTATAAAAGATACATCAGTAACTAAAATAACCCTATGATGTGTTAATAATGTACAGAAATTAGCAGTAACGTTAGTAATACCATACAATTTACACCAAGATCCAAAAAACAAATGTTAAAGATTTATTATTTCCAAGCTCATCATTTCATTCATTATTTTTGTTGAAGTTTTGTGCAAAGGTACTCAAGGGCTACCTGACTTTTACTGAGAAGTTGACTTACATCATTAAAACTGTTGACTGACTTCTACTGAGAAGTCGAACTACATCATTAAGTGTTGACTGACTGACTTCTATTGAGAAGTCAAACTACATCATTAAAACTGTTGACTGACTGACTGCTACTGAGAAGTAGAACTACATCATTAAAACTGTTGACTGACTGACTTTACTTTGTATTGTACACTAATAAGATAAATGTTACAGCAAGCCTAATTTTACACAATCCTACCTTCTGCTTGGTTCCAGAATCTGAAGGGTGAGGCTTGAGTGAGGGACCAAAGATTTCTGTGAATGGTTGAGTAATGTTATTAGATGAAGTTCCCAGCTTTCCACCATCCTATATCAAGGAAATAATATGAGAAGATTTCTTTATGTGTGGGATCCGTTTATAAACAGCAACACTAACATGATAGATAATATGAAAAATTAAAAGTATCATTTCCTCTTATTTCTTTCAGAAAAGAAAATCTGTTTCTTTTCTTCTTTGTAAACACAAATTCAGTTTTGATGTTTTAAATTAAAACAGACAAAATTTTAACTACAGAAGTTAAGTATGTTACAAGATAAACAAAGAATTGGGAATTTAAAAATTTGCAAATATGGATCATAAAAAAAGTAAGGAAACAAGGTTGGAGACACTATAGACATTGTTTACTCAAACTACAAATCCATATTTTTGCTGTTACCTAGACTTACATTTGGTGGAGTCAAAATAGGTATTTGTAATTTGAGTAAATAACGTTTAAAGTATCTCCTACCTTGTTTCCTTACTTTTTTTACGATCCCTATTTGCAGGTTTTTAAATTCCCAATTTCTTATTTATCTTGTTTGCTGGCTTTCTTTTTCCTTAACTATAGGCAAATGATTACTTGATATGGTAGCTACCTTTATACATTGTGATGTTAATAAACATATCTAGTAACTAGCTGATATGGTTCATGATGATTTACTGTAGCTATTGACTATTTGACCGCATTAGTTCAAGAGGTAAAAATCTAAGCTGCAGCTGGAGATTGATATGCAGATTTATTTGAGAATATAATGAGCATTTAGTTTCTATGTAACTAAATTTTCTATATATAATGCATCGCAATGAGCAAATGTATACCTAGACAAAGATACAACCCCCACCAGTAGAAATGAAGCACTTTCAAATAAAATATATACATTTAAAACATTACTTTAAATAAACCTTCATGTCTTAAGTTAATTATTCTATGAATGTGTGTAATGAAATTTAATAATATGTGTATTGTTTTTCTTTACTCCGTCACTTCATACATAATATAGAGGTTGGCTCCCTAAGAACACCGATTGCATAGTATACAAAGCATTGAGTATGTACATGTTACAGTCACCTATTATTGGCTGGTAATTCCTGTTTCACCCTATACTTACTTAAGCTTCTAAAATGAACACCAGATATTTGTAAGAAAGCTAACTTCAAGTGGTAATGATAATATCATTTACACTAGAATTAGCTTATGTAAAATATAGAAGAAACAAATCAACTTTTCAATACACTATGACCTTTGCAGTACCTTATTTAGTATTCTACAAAAGGTTTGGGTGCAATATACCAAGTCATTTTTGTTGTAGGCTGGCAAGAGAATAATAAGAAGAATTACAAATGGGCCTTTTTGAGTGGATTTTCTTTTCCTTGTAAGTCTAACATACATCCTTTTTGTGCATTTTATGTGTACAGCCTTAGCAGTCAATAGTAAAGATTTTAAAGTACTGTTTGAAATGAATCTTTACTCTTTGCCCAAACGTTCTATTAGGGTTTTGTGCAATTCCTCGAGATCCCTATTATGAACCACTATCATGGTTCATGGTATATAAAACAATTGTGGGGCCTCACTATGTCATTACAGTCTATACTGCCACATCCAATCATGTTCCATTTGACAACAGTCCAACAGCACAGTTTCCACTGCAAGGCTGTTATGTCCAAAGCACACCATTCTTCCCTGCTTGGTTTCCATAATCCATTTTATAAAAGAGGATGATTGTTTTCAATCATGCAGAAATTCATAAGCATTGAGTCTAGTGACTTGAATACCTATTTCATTCTCAATCAGCTTGAGGTATGTGATGGTTGAATAGGAGTTATGACTGCAAGCCTTATCTTGGTGAACCCATACCTGGTTGCCCTCATTTCCAGATTGATTTCCTTCTTTGTTAGTTGCATATTGTTGTCTGTGGCAAGTTGATGGTTTTTACCATTGACCTTAGTGTTCTTAGACTCTCACTTGCTATAAGACACCACCCTTTGCTTACCACAGCTGAGAAATGACTCATTGCAAGTCTCTTCTGGACAGTTCTGGTTCCCGAAGTTGTTCCATATTCTTTTGTTTTACAATGCAATACATTAAGTATAAGAAATATCCCAATCTTTTAAATTCTAAATCCCAGATGTGAACACATCTTTATGATTTGAGTGGGTGAATATATTATGTTAGAAAGGGTTGTTACATACTCTTCCCAAAAGCAACAATTTTCAGTGACATCCTAATACCAACAAACTGCCAAACACTGTTGAAATATAGTTCTCATACTGAACATTTCACCAAAACTTTATAAAAGCTGCAAAGTGACTTTCTGATTTACACATTCAAAATCACTTTAGTACAACAGACAAAACTCTCTGTAGTTTTCCTTAAGTATGAACTTTAAAAAACTTTGAGATCACTAAGGCACTCTAACTAATGTACAATGTGGAATTGGTTAAAAGCAAAGAAAAGTACAAGTTACCTTTGTGGAAGAAGATTTTCGTTTCTTTTCTTTGGTAACTTCATTAGAAGGTATTGTCTTACTTGCTGGTTGTTTGGAAGAAACATGTGGATGATCTCGAGCTTCAATGCCAGATCCTCCCTTGACTGAATGATGTGGTTGAGATTGAATGGTGTCAATAGTACCTCCTGTTGGATTGAGGGTCACAGCAACCTACATGAAAATTAGTTAGTTTTATTTTCCAAAATATAACAAAGTTAACTGAAGGTTTCCATACCTAATTCTTATCTCCACAAATTAAATAGTTATTAAAGTTCTTTTTAGAATGTTAGCTGTCAATCTGTGTTGTGTTTGTAGGTCATTGTTCCTTGAGATATTGTTAAGTTTTCTATCTAAAATATGGTAATAGGTAAAAAACAAGTCAAAATAATGACCACAAAAAACATTTTAATCCCCAGTAACTTATCATATATATTAACAAGTTACGAACTAAACATATTAACAAGTTATGACTGTAGAAAGTGAGTCTAAAACAATCAACAATAATCAGCTGGGTAATCCCATGAACCAAGAAATGTTAACACGTCACGACTGTAGAAAGTGACTGGTGAGTCTAAAACAATCAACGATAATCAGCTGAGTAATCCCATGAACCAAGATATGTTAACAAGTCACGACTGTAGAAAGTGACTGGTGAGTCTAAAACAATCAACGATAATCAGCTGGGTAATCCCATGAACCAAGAAATGTTAACAAGTCAAGACTGTAGAAAGTGACTGGTGAGTCTAAAACAATCAGCTGGGTAATCCCATGAACCAAGATATGTTAACAAGTCAAGACTGTAGAAAGTGACTGGTGAGTCTAAAACAATCAGCTGGGTAATCCCATGAACCAAGATATATTAACAAGTCACGACTGTAGAAAGTGACTGGTGAGTCTAAAACAATCAACGATAATCAGCTGAGTAATCCCATGAACCAAGATATGTTAACAAGTCAAGACTGTAGAAAGTGACTGGTGAGTCTAAAACAATCAACGATAATCAGCTGAGTAATCCCATGAACCAAGATATGTTAACAAGTCAAGACTGTAGAAAGTGACTGGTGAGTCTAAAACAATCAACAATAATCAGCTGGGTAATCCCATGAACCAAGATATGTTAACAAGTCAAGACCGTAGA